CCTGGCAAGAATGCGTCATGTAGAACGTCATCGTATAGATTAATTTCCTGGATCAGCAGTAACAGCAGCCAGCGCCCTAAACTGCGAGCGCGATGCCTTCCGCAAGCACTGGCTCCAAGTCCACTGAGCTCTCAGTGGCATGTTGAGAAACGTTGAGGATATCCTGAAGACACGATCAGCACAGTCCAAATGCCTGGTAGAGAAATCATACCTGGCCTTTTCCGACAAGTTCGACGCCATGCGCTTTGCGAGCACGCGCGCCATCCAGCGCGGCCGACTTTCCAAAGGCGCCACGGAGGCGCGAGAGGTGGACGGACACGACCTGCCCGCCGCGCGCCTCGTACAGCGTATCGCGTGAGTTCAGCAGCGCGAGCAGTGAGTTGCACATCACTGATAGTAAATTCAGCTCAGGTGATGCAGGAATACTTAGGGTAACGTACGTGTCGGAAGGACCTGTGCGAATGCGATGTGTATAAAATTGCGGGGCATCACGGCGTTCTGCATAGATGTCAGCGGTTCCCTAGAGGCGACTCGCGGCGGCCTACTGTGATGACGGAGGCAAGTGACACTGCACTGCGCGGATGTCAGCGCCTTCTCGTCCGGACATAATCTGCAACGCACCTGGTCAGAGCGCAAGTGTTGATGCAGTAGACCGTTAGTGTGTGGATGATCGAGTCCGTCCGCTTGAAGCCGGTGCGCCGCTTGATGAGCAGCACGACGAGCGCGGCGGTGATTGTGCAGTCCGAGAACGCCTGCAGGCCAAATGAGGCATACCACAGCCACTGTGTATTCGCTCAGTAGCGCACCAGCGCGGTGCGAGGACAAGAGCGTACGGCATAGCGATCTTCAAACTCGTCGAACGAAGGGTTCTTCAGTCTGGTAAAGTGAGCAGCTTTTCGCCTGAGCGAAGATTGGAGATGCTCACACGAGCCCGACAATAGCTATCAACCGTAGTCAGAGTGACGTCTTGGGGAAAATAAAACGTCCACAAACCAAAGGCTCCGACTGCGAGCCGAAGTTGAGTGGTCAGACACAGAGAACAGGGAGCAGATACGGACCAGAGCAGATGACCGGCGGAGGCATCTATAGCACATGAGTAAGTACGTTGTCCAGACCCACATGACATGGTGACTTACAATAAATATCAAGGGTTTCAAGCTTCCGCTTACTGACGAGCGGATGAGATTATTATCTGTACCGAGATTAATGAGAGCCTACGCACGCTTGTAGATTTTGTACGCAAAGACGCTAGTTCATCTCCGTCAGAATGTCATAGGATACACTGGAGTGAGGAGACGTACAATGTCACCGTCGACTCGAGGACCTCCTGGGCACGCGACGGTCAGAGACGCTCTAACCGTCGGCACAACACGTACTCCAGCGACCATATTTGCTGCGAAACTCCTGGTCAAGAGGATAAGACTGTCAGCGCGATAGGACGCAGCACCGCGGTCGGCGGTACGCACCACGGGCAAAGCTTGAGGGCCAGCGGGTTCATGAAGCTCGTCACGGAATAGTAGTATATCGTTTGGGAGACAAACGCTAGGACGAGGGTGTGCAAAAGCCTGCGCGCGCGCTCAGGCAGGGCCAAATCCTGGACGAAAGTCAGCACGTACCACAGCACGAGCACCTACAGGGCCGTTTCAGCGAATATTTATACCAGACATCTGAGGAAACGCACTATATTCTTCATCGCCCGCCCATCGCTCGAGGGCCGATGCAGGTAGATGTACGCTTGCACGCTCGTGATACCGTACAGCCTGCCGGAGACAAGTCAGTCGGTGCACTTTCACGGGTACGTGTCGGCCTACACCGCGATCATGATTGCAGCTGGCGACGTCATGAGCTCCTGGACGTGCTTTTACCGGACTACGTGTGCGTACCTATGACGATTGCCCCGAGAGTGTTGTCGAGGGGCGGCAGTGCGGTCGGAAGAGTGGGAGGCAGCATCGGCGGCGTTGTTTGAGACATTCTCCCGAGAGTCTGCCTGGCTTTGCTGGAACCGCGCACCCGCCACGGCGGAGTCCTAGCTCTTATACGCCTCCTGGAGCTCGGCGAAGCGTACGGTGATCATCAGGCTGTGTTCGAGTGATCAGGTATCGCGTTCCACGGGGGGTATGCAGCACGTACATACGGGACCGCCGCCTACGAGGAGCGGCTGGAAATCTCTGTTCTCATGGTCGCGTGTCGCTTGAATGCTGATGGCACCCAGGGAAAGCAAGGTTTGGATGGATGATCACGGTGCGGGATATGATAGGATGTGATCAGCGTCGTGCAAATCGGCCGGTCTCGCACATGCTGCCAGGAGCGCCGTCGGAAGCACGGTACTCTGCCGCAGCATCAGCAAAGCGACAGACAAGTGAGAAGGTATAGACACATACGGGGAGAAAATGCTGCCCGCTCCGTTGCTGGTCTAGTTCACAAAACGACTGAACAAGGCACACGAAGCTGCGCCTGCTCGCTCTTGTCAAACGAACCCAATCATCATCGTATGCTCATCCATCTCGGCCACCGAGCAAAGAAGCCGCACCTCCAATGCAGTAGAGCGAAGCTGAACAGCTGGTGTTGTTGGCCGGGCTGTCTGTGGGAGCGGCTGGACGTCACATCATCGACGATCCCGGGTGGTTGCGCAGAGCTGCCTGGAACGGTCCGCGCTACCAGCGTTTGCCCGGCTCCGGAACTGTGAGGACGCAGCCCGTACTTTGTGCCCAGAGTCCAGAGTCCGCCTATCACGCTGGCGTCCCCGCGCTCTCGTCATTCAGTACGCTCGCCCGCATCATGCATGTACGGAGACACCACGGTCATCACAGCATCGTTGCGTTACTTGCCGCCCTGCGTGGCCCCGACGGGCTCATCATGTTTGCTGGCGACGCGAAAGAGCGGAAGACCGCCCATGGGGCTGCGTCACGTTGCCGGGTCTCAAGTAGACGTCGCCGTCTTAACACAATGGGGTGGAAAACTGCGTTTATTGACTCTTTGAGTATCGGAATGGACAGACATTGCCAGGGCGGTCTTTGCACCATCCTCTGGCAGAGCCGCGGCCTGCGCTAGGCTGCACATCCAGCGACGGTCTGACGCGGTGGTCGAAGTTCCATAGCATGACCTGAGATGCGGACATACACATCAGCTGGGCCGCCGACCTGGCTTGTCCAACACACCACGCACCTCAGAACTCGGCCTCCTCGTAGAGCTGCTCTATCGTCCCAAAAGCGCCCTGCAGGTCCGTCTGAATGAGCACCGCTCAAGTCGTGCCTTGATCGCGATGTCGTCGTCGAGCAGCGCCCCGAAGTGCCCCGCGGGTAGCGCGGCATACGTTTCGCGTTAGCTCGGTGTACACGGCCCGCTTGAGCGTGGTGGGCCGCGCCCGCCCATGTGCGCACGCGCCGTCCGCGAAATGCTTCGTCCGTTCGGTGACCTTCGTGTTTACAGGGAGGTCGGCAAGGCCGTGCGCGGATGCGAGGAGCAGGATAGGAGCCAAGCCAATTGGCGTACCGCTAAAGCGCAGCGTGGTCGGTGTATTGGGGGGATCCGCGGAGAGCAAGCGCGACTGACAGAGAGGGCGTGAGGAAGCATGGGCACTCGATGGCCGACCGGAGGCTCGTGGAGGTCGCCGAGGGACACGATTCGCGGACAGGGTCATCTGTGTGAGGCTAAATACGGGACGCAGAAGACCAATGCTCAAACTGGATTGGTATACGCCGTGGAACGGTTGTGGTTGGTTCGTGGAAGGACCTCAGCGTGCGCAAACTGGCGAGCTGCCGGACTGTGCAAGCGAACGCCGGACTTCGAGCTCCCAAAGTATCTTCCAGAACTAGAGAAGATGGGATCGAGCTTGGAATACACAGAACTACAGACATACCTCCGGCCCTGCTCGCTGAGCATGCGCAGAGGTCGCTCCTGGGCGTCCTCCACACTCCAGTCGCCGAGAGTGGTGGTCGGCGAAGGCTGCACGAAGTCACAATCAGCCCCAGGTAAGCGTAGCTGGTGAAGCATTTTGACGCACCTCGGGTCCTCAAGCTCTGCATAGACATCAATTTCTCCTCTTGCTACAGCGTTGACGAGTTCGAGTCGTCAACGCGATGTTCGAAGCCGCAGGACCTCGGCGTGACGGAAGACTGAGCACGAACGACCCACGGCTGCGCTATGACAACATGCGGCGGAGTAGACAGCACGCCGATAGGATATGTGTACGGTAGGACCGAGACGAGATGGAGGATTCAAAGAGAACTGCGTCCACGAAAGCGACCTGTCTGCCGCGGAAAGCGCGCGAGAGTCGCTTACGAAATCAGTCAGGACATACCAAATTTGGCATATGTTGAACCTTATCTGGCAAGCCCGACGGTGGTCCACCGCTGCTCGAGTATCTTCGCCGGCCATTGAAAAATGGTAGCTCTGGAGAGTACGTCCGTCTTCTGCTCTTTCTCGGCGCGCGAAGAAATCCCGCTCCCTTCGACGTCAATCCGCGAGAACCTAATCACGTCCAGGAAGCCCTCCTGACCGCGGTACGCAGGGAACGATCACGCCGCCCTGGCGCATGCGGTGCAGCCTGTAGCTCAGACGGTCAGAGCGTGGCACAGCCGAGGTCGCGGGTTCGATTCCTGCCTTGCTGTGTGCCGTGCGCTGGGGCGGCGCTCTTTTTGCTCGGCGACGGGCGCAGCGGCGCCGGCAGCCTTGACTTTTGCAGGCGTCCGGAGTCTTGGGGCTAGCAATGTATTTCGGAACGGAAGGTGGCTCATCCCATCTCCACACTCCCCTGCACTGCATACCAGCTGACCAAAGAACGTCTGCATGTAGGAACGACAGAACCGCTTCCGAGATTCAACACGGTAAAAGAGAGCCTAACGTAAATTGCCTCAGAAACGTCTATCGCTCTGTGAGTAGTTGACATACACATCTGAGTCCCACACCAGGGACCTCGCGGATTAGAAGGCCCTCAATACCACTGCCTATCCGCACTGCCGAACAGCATGTATACCCGTGCGCACCCGCTCTGCCGGGGTGAAGGCGTAGCTCAGTGGGTCAGAGTGTAGCCACTGGAGGGACTTGCTCCCCCAGCCGGCTGAGGGCGCGGGTTCGAATCCTGCCGCCTGAACTCCTTATACTTTTTGCTGATGCATCCACGGCGCTCTACTCAGGATGCTGACACCCACGTTGCGTGCGAAGACCCAGATAGGATATCGAGGTGACTATCTGCATGTCCAGAGCGCTGTCCTGCAAACGTGCGTAGACAATCAAGCAAATGTGACGCGCTGGGTATGCACAAATCCATAATCTTCGTCTGCGCCCCTTCTCCTCTCCAGAACAAGAATCATATGCGAGATCTGTGTCAATCCCTTCTTTGCGTCTCTCCGCCGGCGTTTTTGCACTGGAAGCATGCAAACATGCGCCTGACCCCAGCGTACTACAGTAGGCGGGAAGTCCATGGATGAAATTGCGAGCTGATGGTCGCTGGCGCTAGGCGTCCGCCCTGGCGTCTCCGCCGCGTCTTCCGGCATGGCCAGCCGGGCCGCCTTCCTAGGGCTCGCCTCACCTCTCCACCCCTACATAGCGAGTCCTGCGGTACGTACGAGCATTTTAATATAGTACACGTCGTATGTCGTGTCTTGTGGCGGGTACTGAACCCTCTCGGGGACGGCGCCTATGCGCAGGGCTCCGGGACAGTGTTCCCACGGCGAGCGCATGCGTCCGTCCGACCACGGTGAGTGCATGCATAGTCGGTGTAGCAGTACGCTAATCGTAGTAGCCTCTCTGCGGTGGTTGCGCGACGCTGCGGGCTGTGAGCAACGGGCCAAGTGCGAGCCTGCGAGGGCCCCTGGCACCGCGGACCCGGGAAACCCTTCACCGCACCAGGTCCTGCGGCCGACGGAGATCGGCGGCGCAGGTCACTCTACTCGAGTAGGCCTATCTACGTGAGTCAAAGTTCGACGCACATTATGAACGTAGTGAATCTCGTGGCTATCGTCTGATCTGGGTAATTGAAACGTCTATTGTGCCTTGCTGCTATCATTTCTCTCGCCTCGCTGTAATGCTGACCGCGTCCGATCGCAGGATTAAAGTTGGTCTCCTATGTTAACTCACAAAAGAAACGCGTGAGCTGCCACGACTTTACTCATTTTCTTTTCCAATAATGAAACGTTCAGCATGCCGGACATGGAATTGTGGCCGTCCCACAGGATGAGCTCTGCGGGTATCCTGACAGTAAGGTTCGTCATCTCTTCATCCATTCTCAGACAACGTTAACCATGATGCGCTAGTAGCACATTATGAGCATGACCTGTCAACTTCGCTAGCGCTACTGGTGTGTGCATATCTCGGGCGGCGCTCATGCGCGACGCTATGCACTCCTTCGCTCTCTGCCGCGTCCCCACCGACTCTCCGCGTACGCCCTCGCGACGGCTATGTACCAAGTATCCGGCTCTGTTCAGGGCCTTGATGTTGGGCTTATATTCAATGCCCGTGTCGCACCGTGCGTTCTCTGCGCTTCTGCAGATGTGTAACGGCGTCCGCTGGCAATCCTCATGAGACCTGCCGCGACGCTTGTCACCTGCAGAGACGGGATTTTCTGGCGTCCCGTTGCACATGCTGTAATTTGCCACAATTGGTCAGTATGGAATAAGTAGTAGTTCAACAAACCCCGGGTCACGAGGGGCGCTGCAGGGTGCTACGCCTTGGATCTCTGAAGCTGGGCGGAAGATAAATATAGTCGCATGTGTACCTTTGCCCTGAGGGACTTAGTACGCCGTATGAACAAAGTGTTTCTTCCCGTATGCGAGCAGCGGAGATGAGATTAGTGCAGTCCGTTGCCCTTAAGTGCCCCTATGTGTCACAGGAATGCTTGGGGCTGCCGGCAATGGAGCGGTCATTGGGCTGGAGCACTGCCTGCGCGGAAGGTGTAGGACAGGACCACACCGGCGTAAACGTAGGCGGCTGGTGCACGTCCACAGCAAATTGTACTTGTGATGCGTACGTGCTGTGTACGTGCCCGCTGTGGCATAGATAGCCCCGTCGTAAAGCACCCGATCACTCTGAACACCTCTGCGTTTGCATCCTGAACGCATAAGCCAAGTAGAGATGACGTACGCTGCGGGCCCTGAGCCTATCGCTGGATCCAGAGCATGGCGGCGTTGTGCCGTGCAGTGCTCGACACGCGCGCAGCTTGTCGTCTGAAGGGATGCTCAAGCACATCTATGACCGGTGGCAGCAGCAGGAAGGCGCACCGTACATGGCGCTCGACACTACCGAAGGTGACGTCCGGGCGAGTCCGGCAGTGAAAGCGGATCGTCAGACATGTCGAGGAGCTATAAACGCGGCCAGACGCGCAAAAAGCGTGCGCAGACTTTTCCTTATCCCAAGAAATCAGACGAGGTGGCGGTATGCCAAGGACTGCAATCAGACGTGTGCAGCGTCAGCGCAGCATGGCGTGAAACTGACCCAGAGCTTGGTCAATGCACAAGGAATACCTTGCTTGCCCGTTGAGACGGCGTAGTCCGCAAGCACCCGGTAGATTCGGTCGTGTTCATATTCCCAAAACGTTGGAGCGACTGTCTACATATGTCCAGCTCGAGCTTGAACTGTTCTGCAACACCTGGTGCGGTGAAGGGTTTCCCGGGTCCGCGGTGCCAGGGGCCCTCGCAGGCTCGCACTTGGCCCGTTGCTCACAGCCCGCAGCGTCGCGCAACCACCGCAGAGAGGCTACTACGATTAGCGTACTGCTACACCGACTATGCATGCACTCACCGTGGTCGGACGGACGCATGCGCTCGCCGTGGGAACACTGTCCCGGAGCCCTGCGCATAGGCGCCGTCCCCGAGAGGGTTCAGTACCCGCCACAAGACACGACATACGACGTGTACTATATTAAAATGCTCGTACGTACCGCAGGACTCGCTATGTAGGGGTGGAGAGGTGAGGCGAGCCCTAGGAAGGCGGCCCGGCTGGCCATGCCGGAAGACGCGGCGGAGACGCCAGGGCGGACGCCTAGCGCCAGCGACCATCAGCTCGCAATTTCATCCATGGACTTCCCGCCTACTGTAAGCGTACAGCCGACAACGCTGCGCCCCGGTACACGCTACGATGTCCGCCGCACGAGACCATCCAAACTCGCCAGGCGCTTCCAGCTGCTCTTCGCGCGGTGCGTCGACGCAAGCCTCTGCAAAAGTTACTGACCAGCAAGCAACGATCGTCGAGTCATGGTTAGAGCTCCGTCGTACAGTCTGCTTCAGTCTGATGTGTATTCGTTAGGTTCAAATGTTCTGGATTGCGCCGTCGTCATGTGCCTCTGCGCACAGCTTGCGCAGCAACTCGCCGCTGCCGTTGAGTGCGCCCCTCTCCACATGCTGCCCCAGTATACAGTTAGGAGCCATGAAATCGAAGGGCAGCCTCACGCTGAGCGGCGGCATGCAAAGCGTGGTGGACGCGGTGAGTAAATCGCGCAGTAGACACCGCAGAAATGGGAGGGTCGCCCGCTACGGAACTCCTGCCTGCGTCACGGTTGACGATGCACCACTATTCGCGAGGGAAGCTGTGTTGACAGAATTGGCTGTGCACGTGCAGTACTGTGCCAAGCGGCTCCACTGATTTACAAGAAAAATCGCGAGGCTCGTGAGACTAGCAAGACTTACAGCGAGAACTGACCTCCGACGATGGGACACTGTGCCCAGAGCGAGCCCCGTCGCCGACCCATTTTCTGCGCCCAGAAGCCAAGGTAAGCCACATCGCACTTCTACGCGGAGGACATCGCGTACGTGGGGCAGCGTCGAGATTTCGCAGTCTTGCAGAGCGCACGTTGCCGGCACGGTGTTCGTGCATCGATTTTGCCATTCCCAAATCGTGTCGCGCTGCCACAGAGCAGCTACATCTGCAGTCGTCAGCACCGGTGTAGTTATCCTGCGCCCTTACCCCTGTAGTCCTTTGATCCTGCCGGCGACGCTTGTGAAGGCGTATCGAGCCGAGTGCTTGTGCCGTCCTTCAGTGACCAAGTCCATCCTACAGATGCGGACTTAGCGGCAGATGTGAGCACGACGGCAGAGAACGCACCGCTTCTGACCGAGATAGACTTCGCGAGATTCAGCGGGTGCCCGGACGGTTTGCTACCAGGGTGTGTGCACTTTACCGCGATCTGCACTGTAAGCGCGTCAGGCACTGAAAATACAGCAGACACAAAGCGTCCGCACTATGTTCTGCTAGCGGACGGCCCTTTCAGAGCTCTGGGCAGGGCCTCACGACTTGGCCTTTGTTTCCCATCTTCCCGCCAGTGGAATCGATCTACGATCGTGACGAGTCAAACAAAAGCACTCAGGAAATTGTGGAGAGCACGCACCATAACCTCAGTGCATACTCGGCCAGAGCCGGCCCCACTATCGCATGCATGTTGGCCCGGCCGCCTTCCTAAAACCGGCTATTCAGCTTGAAGATGATACGGAGGCGTGCCACAACCAGATCTAAGGGCCCATAGCGTTTACCACGGAGTGTGTTAGTCGCAAGGCAAGCGAGAGAACGAGGGCGGTATATATTTCTGCTGCTAGTCGGCGCCGAGCACACCATAGGTACGGAGTTGTCGAACCTGCGAGTGCGTCGCGCAAGCGTGGCTTCGTCCGTCAAGAAATCCGCAATGCCTACGTATACGCGGATCGGTGTATTTGTGGGTGACAAAAAGTAACGAGTACATCGATGGACGTACCTCTGGAGCACAACCTCGCCCAGGACAACAACCATAACCGATATGCCATCTCTTTTGTGCCGGAGCTTTGGACCCGCGGTCGCCGTATACCGTGTAGTCAAGAGAGACAAGACAGAAATTCGTGGCCGGTAGGCATGTAGATGAGGGAGGAAACTACGGAGGGCGACGGGGGAGTAGAGGCTCGTGGACGCATGCGTACGAGGCCATGTACCGAAAACGTCATGGAGTTGACGGCAGGTACGAGATGTAGGGCGCTGTCTAGAGCTGAATGACTTGAGTTTGGGACGGCGTCGCGCGCTGTGCTGGCGAATGGTACAAGCGGATGTCCAAGTCACTTTCGAGAATGGGGCCGTCTACTATCTTTCGGAATGGGCAGCAGAAATGAGCTCCAAGCCACATAGCATAGAAGTGGACA